AGATATCGTTTAATAATATAATTTTTATAAAGATAATAATTAAATATTCTGTTATAATTAATGATTATCATAATTATATTTTAGATTTTTTATATTCAAAATGAGATGTATATCTCATATTTGATTATATTTAGGGTTATTTATAAAAATAACCGGTTTACACAATCCTTTGCCACAAAATAACCACATTTTAGAGGTTTTGCCAAAATAACCACCCGGATCGCCCCCGTACACAATGGGGGCGATCCCGGGTAAAAAAAATTCCTCAAAAGTCGAGATTACTGTTCACCTCGTTGACCATGTTTGACTTCGCCCCCGGGGCGATCCGTACTGTACCGGGGGCGATCCGGGTAAAAAAAAATTTTGATTTTTTTTCTAATACCAATTTCACTATAAATACCAACCTCCTAATTCATAATTTTTCACACATTCCCTTCCATTTCTTTTCTCATATATTTTACTCTCACAACCCTTAACCCATTAAACACAATAAACCATCACAACCTTTAACCCACTAAACACAATCAACCATCACAAAACATGAAATCACATGAAAGTGATAATGTTTGTGTGTATCTTCGAAGTGGCGGTTTATTCCAAGATATAAATGGTGTTTTAGAGTACCTTCCGATAACCTCTCCCACATGTGCAATACGTTTGTCTTCGCCAATAACGTATTCTGGGGTCGTCAAACGTGTGACGAAAAAGTTAAGTTTACGTGGTMCTTTCAATTTATTTTTTAAAACGAATACGTTATATCAGTTTATGGACGACGATGATGTGGTAATCCTCCACAACACCATTCGTCAAACTTTATCAGAAATGTTGATACTATATGTTGTCAACAATGGAGGTTATGAAGAAATTCATCAAATGCAAACCCGGGAGGTAACGTGTATATATATATATATATATATATATATAGATGCATTACGAAAAAAAAGCGATGTAAATTGCGGTAACGTATATATATATAGAGATGCATAACGTAAAAAAAACGATATAAATTGCGGTAACGTATATATATATATATATATATATATAGATGCATTACGAAAAAAAAGCGATATAAATTGCGGTAACGTATATGTATAGAGATGCATAACGTAAAAAAAAGCGATATAAACGGTACAAAAATTGAAACTTCGTATTTTATACGTAAATATGCGTACGGGTTTAAACTCATACGCATATTTACGTATAAAATACGGGTTTAAACCCATACGCATATTTACGTACGTATTTATACGGTTGAAAACCCGTACGCATATTTACGTAAAAAAAGCGATATAAATTGCGGAAACGTATATATATAGAGAGATGCATAACGTAAAAAAAGCGATATAAATTGCGGTAACGTATATATATATATATATATATATATATATATATATATAGATGCATTACGAAAAAAAAACCGATGTAAATTGCGGTAACGTATATATATATATATATATATGCATAACGTAAAAAAAGCGATATAAACGGTACAAAAATTGAAACTTCGTATTTTATACGTAAATATGCGTACGGGTTTAAACACATACGCATATTTATGTACGTATTTATACGCATATACATATATATAGATAAATACATATAAAGATAGATAGAGTATTTACCGGTGTTTCCATAGTAGCGGCGGACGGTGGTGGATGGCGGCGGTAGACGGTGGTTGGTGGCAGAGGAGGGTGGTGGACGGCGGCTCTTGACGGTGGTCGTTGGCGGCGGAGGGTGGTTGTTGGCGCCGGAAGGT